CTTTGCGCTTCGATTACTTAGGAGCTGAGAAGCGGCAAGTAGCATTGAATGAAAATTTCAAATATGTTTCGCAAGTTAATTTGCAAAGTATGCCTAAATTATGTCATAATATCCGTATTTTCTAAATTCTTCAAGAATGTATATAGAACATGTATTGGCGTTTAAGTTTGTAATTGACTTAAGATATTTGAGGTATTCTCAGTCAAAATCATGCCGTCGTCAATGTGTATCAGTGGCGTACATAGCAACAAAATGTGTTAAGATTTTCAATGTTTCTGGTGGATGCGCCGGGTATTAGAAACGACATGTAAAATTCGTTGCTATGGAAACATTGTAAAATTGTTTATTTTAAATTTGTTTTATGTTTAAACAAAAAGTGTTTCAGTTGTGTGTTAATTTTAATATTCTTGTGCTGCTTGGACCATGAGGTTCTTGATTTGTCCATGATAGAGTACGTATATGCGATTGATGGTTTCGACGATTTCGGGACACATCTTCAACGCTTCTACCGCTCTATCCGTTAACTGCTTTATATCGGCACTGAGGATTTGCGTGTTTTCGTTGATGATGTTGTCCAATTTGGCTCGGTATCCGTAATGGTCGAGATAGTATATGATGAAGTTAGCGATCTGGTCGACCATCGCATCGGAGTAATGCTCAACGTAATCGGGATAGCAGAAGGACTTATCTTTTTCTGCTCTCTTGTCGACAACGATAACTCTACGATTGTTATTATCCAATGCGTAACCGTGGAAGTCCTTCGACACGTTCGAACGGTACGGCCTCGCAACCTGCGGCCTTCCCAGCAACTTCTTCAACGGAACCGCCTTATCGTAAGCCTCATTTATCTGCTTCTTGCGCAACTTCTCGCGCTCCGCCTTCACAGTCTCCGAATCGTCTTTGTTCAGCAGCAAATTGTTGAGTGTCGTTCGGATGATGCCGTCGTACAGCATCTTCAAGCATTTCCTCTCCGGCTCCACATCCACTCCAATCTCCTTCGAAACTTCGCGTATCTTTCCGTGAGCGATCTTCTCCAGCTGCGCCGTTATATCCTCGAAAACGACGATCGTCTGAGAGAGGAACAGCTCGATGTTCTGCTGCGTTTCGCCCATGCACTCTTCGCGCAAACTCTTCGTACTCTCCTTAATCATTGACTTCATGATATTCAAATTGTTATTCACAATTTCCTTCACGTTATCCATGAACCTCTGGATAATATCGTCGCCGGCTGCGCGACCTACGAGGATAACGAAAACGGCGCAGAACGTGCGAGTGGAAAATCTCATTTTCCGTCGACTAATTTCAAAGCGTTATTTATTAACGCTCCGCTCCATTGTTTTCAAACAAATTGCTCTTTGTTTCTACTTAATTGCTCTAGGAAACACATAAACATAAAACAATCGCGTTGTCAAGGTGACACATTAATGGTGCATGCGCCGGGTTTCGCGCGACTCCACTTTTCCGCTTCGACTAACCCAAAACAATCATCATCATTAAATTTAACAAATTAAAAATTTTGACCACCTTCTTTTTTTAAATTACAGTTACATTTTACACAATTTAAGTATAGCATCGAATTACATTTAGTTACAAACAAATTTTCAAATGAATAAAAAAAAAAGTATATTTAAATATTTCAAATATCAGAATAAAAATATTTGAAAAAATGTTTATTGTTAATAAAAACTTTATATAAAGGTATATAAATGTGGCTTAAACCGATCCAAATTCATTGCAGACAAAATGAAACTATTGTTTTCACTTCTTTCGCTTCTGGTAAGTGTTGACCGCAATTTATTTATTTATTTATTTCAATTGATTGCATCCGTAGATCATCGATGCATCGAGCAACGAATTACGTAAAGGAAACTTGATGAAATTCAAGGGTCAATTGCGGAATATAATAAACACGAACTTCATCAAAACTTTAGTCCAAGAACAAGGCTCGGATCCGATACAGGATAATATAATGGTGGATTTGAACGTGGATTTGTCTATAGAAAGGCCGAAGCTTGTGCGACCGTTGATCGGTACTCCTATGAAGAGCTACGAGTGTCACGCAGAGGATAATAACGGATGGCCAGTCGTTGTCCTCAAGGATGAACTGCACTGCGAGTTGTGTTATTCCATTGCTTACCGAGACGGTATTCAAGATTTGTTAGCTCACAAGCTGCAGTTGCAACTGACTACTAAAGGAAGTGCAGCCCTGGGCGCAGACGAAATCTTCGATTTCGAAGAGCAATTTATGATGGACGCAAAACGCTTCACCGATGAAACATTTAATAACATAAAACCCTGCAAAGGCATTCGACAATCCATAGAGTCGATATACAATCACTTGAGGAATACGTTCGAGACTATCGTGAAAGACGCAGCTTCGAAAATTTAAGCAAATAAAAGTATATTTACCAAGAAACGTGCATTAATCACTCACTGAAAAACAATTAGTCAACTCGCTAAAATATGCGATAGAAAAAATTCAATTGTAACTTTACATATCAACCAATTAAACAGTTTTTGAATTGCTTTAGAAAATTGATTTATTGAACCTTTTGCTACGTTTGTTTGATGTGATTTCGTAAAGAATGGAATGGAAAATCCATTGTTCTAACTGGATATTTGATTTGCTTTGCACTCATTAAACTGAGATTAATTTGAGAAAACAATGGAATTGGGTCTGTATATAAGGCGGAAATATTTTTGCTTATTTTAGTGCATTACTTCTCAATCCGAAATGGGATCCTTCTGGTTCACGTGCGCTTTCCTCTCGGTTGTAAGTCTATTGGTGAAGATGAAGATTTGCATTAACATGTTTATTTAATATGTATAGGTTTGTCTTTTTGCTGTTGGCGCAGCAGAAGAGCTGACGGAATCCCAGAAAAGATTCACCGAAGTCGCAGCGATCCTCATCGACAACAACTACGCTGTGTGCGTCGAGATCAATCTTAAGGATGTTACGGATGAGAACGTTTTGGAAAGCGAGAAGACTAAATGCAGATTGACGACGCTCGAAGATCTCGAAGTTCTGAAAGCGCAATTCGCGAATCTGCAGCCGGATCACGAGGCGGAATTCACGCAACTCTTCGAGAAGACTAAAGAAAGTATTGATAATAAATTCAAGGGGGCTAATAGGAAGGGTCTCATCACGAATTTGATTGGCGGCGTCAGGAATCTGGTGGACACGGCTCTGATTAAACCGACGAAACTTGGTTTGTTGATCATAGATGATATCTGGAAGGCTTTCGTTCCCAAATTGCAGAGACCGCTCGTGACGAAGGTCGATGATAAATTCCGTGGATACGCGCAGAAAGAGTCCGGAGATCCGATCATCATCGTCGGTGATAAAGTCGAGTGCGATGCGACTTATGTGGTCGCCTTCCGCGATGCCCTGCAGGATCTCATTTCTGACTCTCTGGAAAGGTACATCCTGAAGAAGGGTCGCAAGGCTCGCGATCCCAAGAACATAGCGAAGGAGAAGGAGTACATCTTGCTGAAGGTGGATGTCTTCAAGAAGGAAACCATTGATAAACTGACTATCTGCGAAGGATTGGTCGTTGGCATTCAATCGATTGAGGACAATCTCGAGAAAGAGCTACAGTCGATCATTGAGAAAGCTGTCTTCTTGTAAATACAACAATTAAACGAAATTCGAATTTAAACGAACACAACACAAATCGAATGAAACATTCTGAATTAATGTAATTTTTATATACTAACATTAGAAACTTAGGAATCGAGCATTATTTGTTCATATTAACAAACTTTGTAATTTTAAACCTGTAATTTTAATAAATATCCAGCAAGAAAATGAGTTAATTCTTAAACATATTTTTTACCTATTTTGATTACATCTTTTAAACAAGTAATTTCAAAATCCATAAAATTTACTTTCAATTAAATACATTTAGACACTTTAAATGTTTGCATTAATTCAGTTCTATTCAATTTTCTTGAGTAAATTTTTCAAAAACTAAAAAAAAGTACTAAAAAATGTTTCAGTTTTCAATTCCTAAACGCAAAATTTAATTATGTTAATGAGATCAGAATACCCGAGAAGCTTAAAGTGTTATGTAATTAATGTAAATGTTAATGGAATAAATTGAAAATCTTTGCTATGATTATGTGTTTAATGAAATTATTTAGTTGAATTAACGGTCAGTAATGAAAAAAATATGTTTTTTTTTTATGAGGTATGAAATTTCAATATAAATTGACTTTGCGTCTGAGGAAGTTTAATTGCGAGCAGCAACAATGGAGCAATTTTTCGGAGAGCGGAGATCGCCTATAAAACTCTGAAACATTTAATTTCCACTTAATTAAGTCTTTGCTTGCCATCATGAGGGGTGGTCGATGCCGTTTCGTAGTGGTCGTCGCATCTGTAAGTGTTCATACAAAAAAAAAAATAGTAATAAGTTTAGGGATTTTTTGTATCAAGTTTATGATTATTTTTTTCTTTTCGCTTTTCGCAGATACTGATCGCGGTTGCGAGGTCTACGGAAGTGCCGTGCAATGAGATGATTCCAGATGGTTTGAAGAAGTCGATCGATTACGTGACGAACGCGAATTACGAGGCGCTGCAATTGCAGCTGGAGAATGAGACTGATGAGACGAAGATCCGAAATTCGAAAGACAATTATCTGACGGAAACGAAGAAGGCGATAGATTTACTGAACAGTCAGTACACGGAGGATTGTCCTGAGTTGTCAGCAGCTGTGGATGTGCAGACGCAAGAGGCACTGGAGCAGATGGCGAAACGTATCGGTGAGAATCCGCCTGCTTCCAGGAGGTTCCTCTTCGACCTCAACTTAGGTGTCCGCGATAGGGTCAACTCGTTCCTGAACTTCGGTCGTCAGCCGAACGTCGCCGATTCTTTGAACGTTCCCAATCTGAACGTGGTTCAAGACGTGCAGATCAGACCACCGGCGCGGGTCATCCAACAGCAGCCGCAGACCATCATACAGCAAGCTCCACCGCAGACCATCATACAGCAAGCTCCGCCGCCGACCATCATACAGCAGCAACCGCAGCAGGTGATCATCCAGCAACCGCCGCAGACGATCGTGCAGGCCGCTCCGGCTCCGTACATCGTGCAAGGACGAGCTCCGCCGAAGATCGTCAGACCGTACGTCAACAAACTGCCCAGCAATTTCCGTGGTTACGCAAGAGATCTGAACGGAAGTCCGGTGATCATCGTCGATCCGAAGTACCAGTGCGACGCGAACTACGTGACCAGTTACAGGGAGGCGATGCGCGACTTCGTTTCCGACTCGGTGGACAACTTCGTCGACGAGTACGGCTACAGATCGCGCGATTCCTACGAGCAATACAAATTCAAGAAGATCTTAGCCGAAGAGGTCCGTCGTTTCACCACTTCAACGCTGCAGAAGCTTAAACCTTGCCACGGCCTCTACATCTCCATCGAGGCCATCTACAACGAATTCGATGATAAACTCGACGACCTCATCGATAATCTCTTAAACAAACTCTAAACCAGAACCAACCCATAGACTTATAACAATTATAATTAAATCAATAAATAATTTAATTATACCATCATTCCTTCAATCTCAACCCCACAAAAAATACACAACAATTCCAAAAGCTTAAGAAATATTTCAACATTAAGAAACTAAATATTATTAAAGATGTTTAAAGATATAATCAAATGAAAACTGATTGATTGAAAAAATAATATTTATAATTTGTTTTTTTTCTTTATTGGACAACAATATAGGAATTCAAGAAAACTACAAATTTCTTTGATTTTCAATTTAACATAACAAACGAATCTAATAAATATTTTCTTCGTTTATGCGACCGAGACAAAAAACGAACTCCATCGGGACAAGCAGCGGCGTCTTCTTCATATGCAGATGCCTCTGATCGACGCATCGCACCAGCTCTTCGCGGAATCCGGCGATATCGTGTTCATCGTGAACGGCCACCTTCAGGCATTCCCCTGGTACCTCGAGCACCTCGAAATTCCTGTACCGCAGACCGCGCGACAGATCGAAAGAGTCCAAACATTCGGATCCATCGATGTAGCCGAAGATTTCGCGCATCAGTCTCGTATCTACTGTACCGAAGATCCTCAGTAGATCATCCTTGAATGCTGCGAATTTCGCTTTCAAATTGGAACTCAGACCGAGAACGGCTACTGTCTGCAGCAGCGTCAGCGTCACGGCAACACGAAGCAGCAGCATCTTTGCTCTCGGACTAACGTACATTTTTTTTTTTCAAAGACTATTATGGTCGTGCGATTTGGATAAGGTTAACAATGGAACAATGAAGCTATAATCTCTTATCGAAAAACCAATTGGCCGTGTTTTCAATTAACTTCTATCGGCGTGTTTACGTAATCTGGTAATAGTTGTTTTCGTGTCGTCGTCCGTTTTGGGAAAACTACCGAAGATTCTTCGTTTCTACGCTGCACCTGTTTTTCGAGTCTAATCCATCCAGTGCAGTGATGCAACGCAACCTGCAACCTTTCCAGAATCAACGCCCCCTTTTGACGGCAAATTACCCTCAACGCCCACTTGCTAGACCCCCGACTTCTTTCCCGAACACTATATAATATATGACTAGGTAATATATACATATTACCTAGTTATAGTCATTAAGAAAATAATAAGAGTTACAAGTTTTTTTTTTCTTATCTCTTCTTTTAACAATAGAATATTAAAATTTCACTACCTTTTTTTCACATATGTTACTAATTGCAACTTATAATTTGCAGTTAATATTTCCATCAATCAATGATTATAAAACTTAATTAACAAAAATAAATCTTAAATAATTATGAATAAAGTTAAGAAAAATACTTAACACTCTATAATATATGACTAGGTAATATATAGATATTACCTAGTTATAGTCATTAAGAAAATAATAAGAGTTACAAGTTTTTTTTTCTTAT